TACTGTACGACGAATTAACCCATAATCAATCTATCTGAGCAACACCTCCTCTCCACTCCACAGTCCAGCCAGCCACCCACACATTCAAATCAAAGTGCTGCCCAAGCAAGGAGAAGCAAGCAGCAGTAGCCGCAGGAAAGCAACTATCAGCACTGAATCAAGCCATACTGGCCATGATGAGATGAGCGTGAGAGAAACGCAACTTGGTGGTTGGTTAATACAGGTCGCCCTAACTTAGTACGGTAACCACTGCAATCCGATCCCACTGCTGCTCTCTCTCTAACTGTTTCCTGTGTTTCCTGCAGGTCTGCGTTTCCTCCACCCCTCTTTCACATGGCTTTTCTCCTCCTTGGCTGCTGCACTGCTTGGAACCACAGGAGGGGTGGAAAACCCCCCTCCACTCGCACTCCCCCCACCCACTCCTGCACTCATACTCACACCAGCACTGCCAGCACCACCACCAGTGTCGCTGCCACTAAATCCTTCAAAGCACGCAGCCACAGCAGCAGCAGCAGCAGCGGTAGCAGCACGAGGTCGCTTGTTTCCCGCCAGGGAGGATCTACCGCTATTAGAGCCACCTCCCCCACCTCCTCCTCCACCTCCTCCTCCACCACCTTTTCCTCCTCCCCCCCCTCCTCCGGATGAATCCACTTTACCACTGCCACTTCCGTCAGTGAGCAGCTTTAGAGGCTTCGACTTGGGGGCCCTATTGTGATGGGGAGTGACAGGAAAGCCACGCCAGGAGGAGCAAAATCAGTGCCTGTTTTGGAGTCCACTTTAGAACAAAAACAGGAGTTGGACTCAAAAAACGTCAGTGAGCAGCTTTAGAGGCTTCGACTTGGGGGCCCTGTGGTGATGGGGGGAGTGACAGGAAAGCCACGCCAGGAGGAGCACAACTAGATTTCTGTGAGAAATGCCACGGCCAGAAAGGGGAAGGTGAGGAACACCAAGGTCAGAAATGCCACGGCCAGAAAGGGGAACGTGAGGAACACCAAGGTCAGAAGGCGTGTGCGAAAGCAACTGCATTTATGTCAAGGAGAGCAGTCATAGGACCTTCGCCAGCCACTATACCTGGCTCTGCTGTCTTAACAGACACTTACCGCCCGTGCAACAGCTGCTCTCTAACTTAAGGACGGGTAGATAGAAGCAAGGTCTGATGCCAACTAGGGAAACCAACTATAGATCTAAGCAGCCGCAGCCTTGTGCCTGCCACTGTACCTTGCTCCGCCTGTCTCCATCGCCCGGGCAACGGCTGCTGCAGCCGCTGCTGCTTCCGATTGCGACCTCTCCTGCGCCTCACTCGCGGATCCCCGCGCTTCCTCTTCCATGCTCTGGTGAAGGCACATGGCGTTTCAAGTCAAGGCAACCAGTCACGGGTTTGGGGGATGGAGGCCGTGACAAGGCGAGCAGGAGGAGAGAGTCGGATGACGCAGAAGGAAGAATTGTGGGCTTGTAAAGAACAGGGAGAGGAGGGTGAAACATGCGAGGAAAATTGTGAAAAGAGTCCGTCCAAGCCGCATAGAGAGTTTTGTTTGTCAGCAGATTTCAGGCCATTTTGAATGCTGCGAGTTTCTGTGCGTTTACAGTACTCCCAAGTCCTCTCTTTTCTCTTCCCATTCATCCTCCCCTCCCCGCTGCCTCCTTTGCCCTACCCTCCTCCTCCCCCCTACCCCTCCAAATCTCCTTTTTTTCTCCTCCCCCTCCCCCCTCCTCCCTATCCTCTACCCCTTCCCCAGCTCCCCCTCCTTCCCTTCCCCATGCGCGCACCTCCACGTCCTTTTGAATCTGCCAAATGACATGCGACTCATGCGACTCATGCGAGTTCTGAGACCCATGAAACTCGGTTCTGAGGCGTCTCATAATTCCCCATGCACGCACGCACGCACGCACCTCCACGTCCTTATTGAAACTGCCAAACGACATGCGCCCCATGCGCCGCCCTGGATCTGGTTGCCCCTCCACCACCACTCGACTGGCAGGAGCGGGGGGAGAGGGAGAGGGGGCCAACAGGGGGAGAAGGGGAAGTTCTTGTCAGTGGACCCACCCACCCAAGGGCCAAAAATACTGACTCAACTGATGAGTCTAATGCCTCACTCTTTTTGTCCCTCCCTCCCTCCCCCCCTCTTACCTCCCTCGCACTCCCTCCTTCCGCTCCCCCCTCCCACTCCCCTTTCTCACTCCCCCCTCCCTCTCCCTCTCTCCCCTTCTTCCACTCCCCACCATGTGAGCCGCTGTCCCCCATGAGCCGCCCCTGGCGCAGCAGCGGCGGAAGCAGGCGCGAACCACCGCTCCTCCTCCGCCGCTTTGTTCGCAGCGGCTGCTGCCGCGTGCGTTTGGACGTTTCCCCTGAATACCGCCGCTCCTGCTGATGCACCCCCCGCTGCTGGTGCAGCGGGCGTCGCCGGGGAGTCTTTCGGTTTGCCTCGTTGCATGAACTGTCCGCGGGAGACGGCGCGCGGAAATCAGGGAGCATGCAAAAGAGGGAGATATTTTCGGGGAGGGAGGGGGGAGGGGGGAGGGGAGAGGGGAGGGGGTTGGGGGGTAGGGTTTGGCGGTGGCTGGTATTTATGTTTGCGGATCTCCAGAAATGAAGAATAAATGCATTATGCTCCTTCTAGGCTGATCATGCCGAGCATATAACACACTCAGTAATTTGTTAGAAAATGTTCAAACGTCAGCAGCCGTCCGATCTGGTCCGCACATCGCCGTGGTCTCCTCCATCGTCGTACGATAAAGAGCGACGGCCGTGTCTCTCGCATCGTCGTGAACCGCATTCGCAACCGCATTCGTGATGGCATTCGCGCTCGTCGATTTTCTTAAAGTCGAGAGGCGATGCTCACCTTCATTTGCTGCAGACGGCCTGACAGCTCTCGTTTCGCCATGGCGTGACTATGCGTGAGAGAAGCACTCCTTCCAAAACCTTGAAAAAAAGTCGACCCTTCGAGACGAGTCAATCAAGAATGAAACCACCGCTCAGGTAGTAGCGGGAGAAATGGTGGTGCTAGAAAGCGCAGCTAAAATCGTACGAGGTGTTCGACTGAAACAAAGTCTGTCGCTCTCGTGCTCGTTCGGAGCATGAAACCAGAGCAAGTAGAGGGTGCCGGGTGGGTTCATCGTGTGACTTAGACGTCGCCCCCAGAGACAAACACGGAGCGGTACCACAATTAACCCTGAGGAGCAACCTTTCTGTAATCGCCCTCGTTATACTGCGCAGTCTACATTCAAAATGCGGAATATAGAACTTGGTGTACACCATGCTCCCGCCTTTGACAGACTGGGTTGTTCAACCATTGGAGGTCGAGTCAACAACAGCTTTGGCAATCTTTTTGAGCACCTGCACAAATGTTGCAAGCAAGCTGATTGGCTGTGAAGGGTCAACTGCGCCACTGTATAGCCACGTGTGCCACGCAAGGCCCACTCCAGCGCAACGAATTCAAGGATTTCTTGTGGCCTGAGACTGGCATAGGCTTGATTTTTTGCAGTGCTGGATGAAGTTGTTCGGCCACGGTTATTTCTTTTGTGAAAGCAAATGGCGCACTGTACGTGTAATCCATCCAGCTTGGACGAGGAAACAAATCTTCACCGTGGGTTGACAATAGGCTTCGCAACCAAACCTCGGGAACATTTTCGCCAAGAAACAATCCCCCAGTGTAGGCGCAGGCCAAACTTTAGGGCGCGTAACTTTTTCCATTCTCGTCAAATGTCCGGACGGAGCCTCCAAACCTGCCGGACGGAGCTCCGTCCGGACGTGTGGGAAGCAGGTCCGGACGATAGGCCGTCCGGACCACAATTGTGCACCTTGTTCCCCTTTCGAAAATATAGAATCTTGCCACGAACAATAACACGCATTACAGAAATCGTACAGCACTTAGAGATTTAGCCACCAAACTTTTGCGGCATCCTATTGGTTGAAAAATCGTTCAATTCGTGAACAGATCACAGCGCAGACAAAACGAACCGTCCGCAATGCCGTTCGGACGTTGTCAGCAGGTTAGTCCGGACCAATTTTTGGCAGAAAACTGTCAGATTGAGTCCGGACGGTAACGACGTCGCAGGGGGTTTTGCGAACATCTAAATGAACTGTTATCAGATAAGTTACCCTACGAAAGTCCGGAAGGGGCCTCCGTCAAGACAATGAAAGGTGAAGAAGTTACGCGCCCTTATACGCGGCCATCAGAGAGGCCAGGGCATCTCATTGTCTGACCGCGCTTCCGCTCAGGTCTATTCTGTTCACTGGTGGTCCCCTCCCCTCCCCTCCCAGTCCAGCCCAACAACCACCCACAGAAATCGCGGTTTGGGGTGGCCTGGGTGTTCACTTCAGATGCCGCACCGAACCGCACAGTGCTCCTCAGTTGCGCACACACTCGCCGCACATTTCAGGGCTGACACACAACACATGCGCTACGTTGAGTTGCATTGCTTTCGTCACACTCCCACCCAAGTACGAAACATTCACATCACTCACCTCCACGGTTTTCCCCCAAACAACAACAGAAGCTCGTTTGTTCCTCATTCCCAACCCAACCACAAGTAGAAAATCAAGCCACCGTCGTATCTCGTCTCAGTTTAAGCACCTATACTGTCTCGTCCTTTACTGATTCGTTTCCACCTCTGAAAATTAGTCTTCACGTCGACAGCTTTTGAGATAGCAACCAACCATGCTCCATGCATCGTCAGCACCGGTGGTAGGGGCGGCCGCGCCGCGCTCCTCAACCCTTCCCTTGCGCACCGCCAGCGCACTCACACCGCTCTCCCGACAACTACTACCATTTCCCATGAGCCGAATTCCCGGACATTGCGGTCGCGCGGCTCGGCAGCTGGCCCCTGCGAAACACTTGCCGACAGGATTAACAGTTGAATGCCGACTAGCAGAGCCCACGAACCAGAACCCGGCCAGGCGGGAGATTCTCCTCGGCATGGCACGTATCGGCCACGACATGATGATTCGAACACGACGAGACGCCTTTTTCAGCTCAGCTTACAGCACTGGTAACGGTGCAATGACGTGGTCTCCGGGCAACGCGGGAGACACGGACGGCAGTGCAGATGCGTTCCATGTGACGTCGGACGACTCGTCGTCGGACGAGGAGAACAAGGCCGCGCAGGCCATTGAGAACGTCGAAAACTCGGTGGAGCGAGTAAGTCGTCGTCTACCCAGTCCTCTACTAGTAGTAGACTCAATCGCAATCACAAACGATCTCATTTGTTCACATTCTATCTCGAAGTCCTGCTAACTAGATCATCCCTACTATCATCGCCACTTCCTCCGCAGCGTATCTTCGACTGCCGCTTCCTCACGCTGCTCGCCGTCGTGGGCTCGCTCGTTGGCTCCGCCATATGCTTCATCAAGGGCTGTCTCTTCGTTCTCGAGTCGCTCGTCGAGTTCGCCACGGCGTGGTGGGGCATCGGATCAGGCAACGTCATTCTCCTGCTCGTCGAAGCCGTCGGTGCGATGCCTCTCCGTCTGCCTCTGCCTCCTTACCCGCCCCCCTCCAAGTCGCTTCCACCTTTTCGTGCATCACACTCATTCACATTTACAGACTCGTTATTGTCGTTTCTATTTTGCTTTCTCGATTTTCTCCTCTTCTTTTTCCGCTCTTCCGTCCGATGTTTCTAACGCTTTTGGAGTCCATTCCCGCGTTTCTAACTCGTCTCTTGCGCCGTATTTTCTTCCCGTTATGATGGCCTTTTATGCAGACGTCTACCTTATCGGAACGGTCATGCTAATATTCGGCATGGGCCTCTACGACCTCTTTATTCATAACTTCAACGTCGAGCCCGCTACCACCGGTGACTCTGGCGCACACCGCTCCGCGCACGGCGCAAGCTCCGTCAGCAGGTCGGCGGCGCCCGCCGACCCGTCTCTCCCCACCCACGCGCAGCAGCAGCAGCAGCATCGGGGGCAGCAGCGCGGGAAAGGGCGTGCGCGCGGAGCAGGAGCGCGCAGGAGCCTCGGGTCGAACCTGTTCGGGCTGTTCCGCCTGCAGTCGCGACCGTCGTGGCTGGAAGTGAGCTCGCTGGATGAAATGAAGACTAAGCTAGGCCACGTGATTGTGATGATCCTGCTTGTGGGAACGTTCGAGAAGAGCAAGAAGGTGGTGGTGGCTACGTCTATGGATTTTCTGTGCTTCTCTCTGGGAGTCTGCTTTGCTGCTGGCTGCCTGTTTCTGCTGACGAAGCTGCACCTGCACCATGGCCAGGAGCATGGCGGGCAGGGGCATCATGGTGGTGGCCAGGAAAATTCCCAGGGTCAAGGGCACGGTGCTGCTGCTGCTACTGCTGCTGCTGGTGTCGAGCATGTGAATGGGCACGTGAACGGGCATGTGAATGGGCATGTGAACGGGCATGTGTACATGCATGCGTACGCATCACCAGAGTATGTGATTAGCGGCGGAAATAATATGCATCAGCGTGGGTACATGGTCGGCTATGGCCATGCGAACGGGCATGCCTATGGTCACTTGAGCGAGCACTTGAACGGTCGTGCGAATGGGCATCAGAACGGGCATCAGAAGGTGTGAGGCACATTAGTGACCCCCACCACACTGCCGTCTGAAGCAACAGCAATGGTGGAATCACAGTTGGCATACGTTCCGTTCCATGTGGCAGGAGCAGCTCTTGGCACGAGACCAGACCATCGCAAGCAACAGGAGGTGATATGGTGCTCCATCATCAGCTGGAAAAATAGCAGTACACTACCACCAGTGGCAGAAGAAGAAGGGGCAGCAGCAGCAGCAGCCATGGTATGGCGACAGGTGTACATATGGAAGTCAAATGCAAAGCTTCTCCATTGACTGACCTATTGACTGACCTGGAGCCGAGACACGCGCATCTATTTTCAGGGGATTTGCTTAGTAGCAATGGCTTCCACTTGTGTTATTTCGTTTACCCATCCTAGTATGAATGCCTCTGTACTGTAGTGTGTAGGATTAACTGCTCATCTAGTGGAGTCTGTGGCACAAAACAATTGTCACAGGCTGTACCTGCTGTACCATGATTATGTGTGGACCAAGTGGAAAAGAATGCTCAAATGAACACTACATCAGCACTGTATTATACACCTTACCCCGCCCCACCTTACCCCGCCCCACGCCACCTCACCCCACTCCACCCCAGCTCACCCACCCCACCCTACCCTCCCAGAATCTGTCAACGCAACCCTATCAACCCTCCCCCCTTTGCCTCGCCCATAACCCGAGCCTCTGGTTCGGAGTTGCAATTCCAAATCCGAAATCCCCATATTCCACATTTCGTTCGTCAGCAAAGATCTTCCTCGTCCTTGCCGAATCCCTCCTTGCCACGTGACAATCTCCCTCGCTCCATGACAGGCTCCCCAGGCAGCACCCGGCACACCTCCTCCTCCCACTCCCTCTGCTTCTGCACGCGCCGCATCTCCTCCGGCAGATACGCCTCCCTGATCTTGTCCTCTTCCGGGGGAGGCGGCACCGGCGGCGCGCCGGCGCGACTCGCCTGCTGCAGCGACGGGCGCGCGAAGGACGCGTGGAAGCGCCGGTGCATGTAGACAGCGTGAATCACGGAGATGAACAGCAGCGGGATGAGCGCGGGCGTCGCGGGGAACTGCTTCACTCCGAAGTAGCCAATCAGCGTGAGCTGCGACAGCACGAGCGCCGCCAGAACGCGCGCCAACGCGTGCGGAAAAATCCTTCCGCGGCTCTCGAACTCGTTAACGTATACCTGCACGAGCTGGTTCTTCATAACGAGCCACTGCGTGAGAAAATACGCGCCGGCGAACGGGAGAATCAGCGGCGAAATCACCGCGTAGCAGAGCGCGAGCGTCGCGACTAGGAGGTCTCCGGGGAGCAAGCTCTTGTAGTCCGGCTCGCCGGGCTTCCACGCGTCGCGCAGATCCGGCTGCGTGCGGCAGAGCAACCGGCGCCGCGCGTGGAAAAGCACGAGCGGGACGAGCCGCGTAAGCTCGAGCCCGGCTCCTACGAGAAACTTCAGGGAGATGTAGGAGATGAAAAACGTCGCGGCTTGCGGGAGGGAAGATCCGAGCAAGTCAACCACAGCCGTTGGATGATCCACGATCTGCTTGATCGCCTGGAAAACGCCAGATGTGAGAGTGGTTCCGATGAACACGTTTAGAACCGTGAAGTAGAAATATTTTCCCGAGGCTGCCCGGATGGCGTGGGAGCGCGAGGGCAGGCCTTCGAAGAGCGAGAGGCGGAGGAGGAGGTTGGGGAGCAGCGCGAGGAAGAGGATGAGCGCAAGTTGCGGAAGGAAGGCCTCTATGAACGTGCGCAGGACAGGCCTGAGGGGAGGAGAGAGGGGGGAGGGGTGGGGAAGGGGGGGTTGTGAGGGCTTGTGAGGCGCAGCAAATAGCGCAGGTTGAGGAGGAAGAGCCGCTTGGGGAGCAGCGCGAGGTAGAGGATCAGCGCGAGTTGCGGAAAGAAGGCCTCTATGAACGTGCGCAGGACAGGCCTGGGTGGGAAGACGTCGGGGGAGGGGGGGATGGCGTCGGGGGAGGGGGGGAAGGCGTTGGGGAGCGGGAGAAAGGATTGGGAGAAAGGCCTCTGTGAACGTAGGCCTGGGGGGAAGTAATAGGATTGGGAGTGGGGGGAACGGGGGTACGGGGGAAGGAACAGGATTGGGAAGGGAAGTAAGGGAGGGAATGGTCTGTGAGAATGTGAGAGGTTGGAAAGGAGTGTGGGGATGAGAGTGTGAGTGAGAGAGAGAATGTGAGTCTGGGCGTAGCGGCGTTAGCAGCAACACTCACTGTTCCACGATGGGCTTGAGGAACGGCAGTGACTTCTCCAGGTTCTGCAGGGTGGTGAGGCTGGATATGAAGCCGATGGGGATCTGCCACACGGGAATGGAAACAGATAACAGAGAGAAGTGAGGGTGGAAGTGGGAAGGGGGAAGTTAGGACGGGGAAAGGGTGACAGGTAGGTGAGATGAGACCTTGAGAGTTGCAACGAAAATAAGGAGAGAGCGGTGTTGGTGGGAAGAAAGACGCACTGGTTACCATCTCTACCGAGCAAGCATGGGTGACATTGGTCGGTAGAGATGGTATAGAGTGATGGTGAGAGAGTGGAGTGGTGGGACCACATGTCAAGGATCGTGCAGAAGCACCAAAACGAGACAGTTTTTTAGGTTCTGAAAAAAAAATGTAAAATAAAGACAAAAGAGGACCATGTAGAAGCAGATGGTGAGGAAGACGAGGACGTAGACGGCAGCGGTCCTGATGGCGCACGACACTCGCGAGATGCTGATGCTGTCCCACAGCACGTCGTTGGGCTCCGGGGCCTGTGAGTGCATGGTGAGGGATGGGATGGGATGCGATGCGATGGGATGCCTATCACATCACGGCATTGTCCGCATGCTGTGTCTTTCAATCCGCACACTTTTTCTGAGGTGCCTCAACTCCCCACCCCCCCACTCCCCTCCCTCCCCGCCCCTTTTTTTCCCCTTCTGCGCGCACCAGCTCTGTCTGCCACGGCGTGGCACTGTCAGCATATGGTCTGCGCTTTTTGAGGCGTCTCAACAATCTCCCCCCACCCCTCCCCACTCTTCCCAACGCACCGGCTCTGTGTGCCACAGCATGGCGTTGTCAGCATGCAGAGTCTGCGCCGCCACTGCCGCCATCACACGATCCCCAAACACCACAACGCCCGCAGACGTCATCACCATCCTCTGCACTCCTCGCGCCACACCCCCCACCACCGGCTTCTCAGCTGCTGCTGACACTGCTCTTGCTGCTGGCCGCTTCGCCATCCGCCCCACACGCCCGGTTAGAGATCCCTTGCTGCGACCTTCGTTACCCTCTCCCTCCCCTTCCTCTTCTTCTTCCTCCCCTTTGCCCCCCTCCTCCCTCTCCTGCTCCTCACCCTCCTCCCCTTCCTCTTCCTGAATCCCTTCCAAGCCCCTTTTTCCACCCGTCCCTTCCATAATCCCTGGCCTTCCCGCAGTGTCAACCGTACCCCTTGCTGCATATCCAGTTCCTTCCCTTCCTCCTCCACCTCCTCCACCTCCTCCACCTCCTCCACCTCCCCCACCTCCCCCACATGCCCCCGGTGGTGATGCCTCCTCGCCTTCCAAAGCGCACACAAGCTGCTGCCTCTCCTGCCTCTCTTCCTCCTCGTCCTCCTCACTCCTCCTCCTCAGTCGCATCTGCCACATAGGCCCAGCCTTTCCACCAGCACCAGTAGCAGCAGCGGTAGCACCAGCAGCACCAGCACTACCACCAGCAGCACCAGCACCACCACCAGCAGCACCAGCACCACCACCAGCAGCACCAGCACCAGCAGATATGCAGCGGCTAGTGCTCCCAGCCCACGCCTCTCTCTGTGCGTGCTTCAGCTCCCGCTCTTTGCACCGCACCACTTCCTCATAGAACCGGATCGAATCTACCTTCTTTCCCCACAGACCCATCCATCCCGTCCGATGCTGCGGCCTCTCCACCTCTCCCCTCCCCTTCCCTCGCCCCCACCAACCACCACCACCACCACCGCTACCACCAGCAGCAGCACCAGCAGCAGCACCACCACCACTACTCCCCATGCTTCCCCCTCTGCCCATCTCCGCATGCCCCTCCCCTTCCCCATCCCCATCCCCATCACCACCACTGCCTCTCCGCCGCACCCACCCCTTAGGCCACCACCCTAGCCGTTCCGCGCGTCCCACCGCCCCCCTTGTCCCCACCAGGACCTCCGGCCCTGCGCCGCTCGACTCTCCTGCCTCCCACTCCTCCTCCGCGCCTCCTGCTGCTCCCCCCTTCAGCCCACCTGTTGTCTCTCGCCGTCTGTCTGCAATCCCCCCTCCATGGGTGATCATCACCCCCCCTGCAGCAGGTTCCTCTGCCCTGCCTGCGTCTCTCTGTGCTTGCACCCACGTGGCCTTGGCGCGCAGTAGCTGCCTGCGTGCTGCTGCCAGCTGCTGCAGAACCGTGCGCGGCTGATTGGAAGAGTGAGGGGAAAGGGGCGGTTGTGTGGGGAGGGAGTGGGGGGGTGTGAGTGGGTGTGGGTGGGAATAGAAGAGAAGGGAGAGAGCGAGGTGGTGGTAAGGGAGGCAGACAGACAGGTGGTGTTTGCTCCGATGCATTGTGATGTGGTGCTGCAGTACAGTGATCTCATGAGGATACAGGTGCTGCATGTTTCCCAAATGTTGGATAGAAATTCCGGGGATGGAAGGTAGGCAGGGGAGGCAGTGGGAGACAGTGGGAGGCAGTGGGAGGCCTTCAATCAGTAGTGAAGAGAAATTCCTGCATCGTCTCAACTCTTTGAGGCATAGCGAATCAGTCAGACTTTGAGGAGGTACCAGTAACACTCTGGGAAACTCCCACGTCGATGCCTTGCCTATCGTAACAAAACAACAGACGTGTTTACAAAAACCAGGGAAAGAGGAAATGAGGCAGAGAGAGGCATAATGACTAATCCACCAACAGTTGGTGGCACCGAGGGTTGGTATCTTGGTACCGGTCCGGTACCGTACCTTATCCAGCGATCTCAGAATGTTGACACCACAGTAGGCTTCCCCATACAGCCACCCGAACAATGTATCCACAGCATCTGCTGCTTCCCTCCGCCTGGACCTCCCAACATTCTCACCACCATCACCCCCACCTCCTCTTCCCCCTCCTTTTCCACCTGTCCCGCTTCCCCCTCCAGTTTCCTCCCCCAGTCCCAGCTCTTCATCTCGCCCATGTTTCTCTGCTTGGACTGACTTCTGCTGCTGTCCCCTATCCCCATCCTCCTCCTCTTGATTCCTCCACACATCACCATCACCGTCACCATCCTCCTCGTCGTCACTGTCAACGCCGCTACCAGCTGGGGCCCCGACCCCTCTCGCTCCTGGCTCAGCCCCTCCCTGCGCAGACAGCAGTGGTGCAGACACAGCAGGCCTGCTGCTGCTGCTGCTGCTGCTGCTGCCGCCGCTACTATTGCTGCTACTAGCTGCAACAACACCAGCACCAGCACCTGCACCACCAGCACTACTAGCATTACCAGGCACAGGAGCGATAGAAACGGTGTTCTTGGGTGCACAGCGGTGCGGGGGGATGTTGCGCAGCAGCACTGCAAACTCCTCCACCTGGACCTCGGGGTCCTCCTCCCTCTGCTTGGCGCGGAGCCTGCTGACGTGGCGGTACGTGCGGTGCAGAATGAGCAGCGTGCCCAGCGCGGACCAGTACGCGCCCACAAAGAAGGCCCACAGGCGAGAGTCGTTGGGCTGGGGGGGGGGGGGGGAGATAGAGCGAGGGAGGGGGGGAGACAGAAGTAGTGGGATAGGAGGGTGAATAAGAGCTGAAGATCAGGCTTTGGATGTTCCTGACTGGTATGACCGTGCTTGTCTAAAGCAGGGTCCCCTGATGCTCGGTTATGAGTTTTGCGAAGGGCGGACGGTGTGTGTGTGCTTCCCAAAAGCAGGTACCGGTATCCTGCCCGAGCTGCGTGCACATCCCCTCATGAACCTATCATTAAGTTCGTTCTACATTCAGATGCCCCAAACACACAACTGACCCGGGAAGGGCTGCTCTAGCATGTGGCAGCACTCACAGCTGCACTACCCATGGCAATCACAGTTGCATCCAGCCGTAGAGAACTGGCGATGGGGAGCTGGGTATGTTTTGAGATGGCTAACAGATTCGCCTAAGCACATCCTCGTTGACCCAAAAGTCAACAGAAATACGGCAACCCCGAGTCAACTCGAAATTCGCCACACATATTTCATGAGTTTACTCGAGAAGCACTCATGGGCACATTCCCTACTAAGATCGCGCATCCAACGTAGAGAGAACTGCAGACGAGGATCCGAGCGTACTTTTGAGTCGACTCAAGAGACACCAAACAAGTCGATTCAAGCAAGCAGCACTTACGGGCACATTCTCCATGGCAATGGCTTCCAGCGCGGAGAACTGCAGATGAGGATCTGAGTCTGAGTGTACCTTTGCGTCCGACTCAAAAGACACCACAGAAAGTAGATTCAAGCGGCAGGCAGCACTCACGGGCACGTTCCCCATGGCAATGGCATCCAGCGCGGAGAAATTGATCTGCTCCGCAGGAGGCCGCCCCGCGTTGAACGAAGCGTAAAACCCGCCGGTGGCGCAGAGCGGAATGAGCACGGGGAGGCAGTACGCGGCGTGCCACAGCACGATCATCAGACACATGCGCTGTATACGCAGATACACTGCGGCATCCAGCCCCGCGGAGTGAACCACGTCCTGCTCCGTGCAGCGCAGCACGCGCCGGAGCCACTCCAGCGCGCTGATCTCCGCGAGCGGCGGAGGGCCGTGCCCGCGGAGGATGCGCTTGGGGAAGTAGATGGGGAAGTTGGCGGGGCGGCGGATGAGGATGGAGAAGAGGGTGAGGAGCAGGAGGAAGATGATCGCGGACGTCACGAGCGACGTGACGAACGACGCGACTGTCAGCATGATGAAGAGAGAGAATTAGCGGATAGATTGGTAGTGGTAGTGGTTGCTACCGAAGTGAGAGTACTACAGACATAAGCGCGGTTGTCTCTCGACGAACGACGCGGATTTCGGGCTCAAAACGCGTGCGGGTCTAGGCTGTTGGACATTGAAACCTCTGGTCCTCGATTTCCCCAAACAGGAATAAAATCAGCAGTGCCTGTGAGATCTGGTGAGCCATTGACAAGGGAAAGTTAATATGGTGAGGGGGTGGCAAGGGAACTTGGCTGGAGGCGCAAATATGAAGGTTTGCGAGCTCGATTGCTTGGCGGCTGCAGCCGAAGGCCGTGAAATGTAATCTCTCATGTGAGCAGGGACACTGAGAATTTGAGAAATTGCCGAGGCGCGAGATGACGTGCCTCGGAGAGTTGCATGCGGCTCCACGAGAAGTTCCGAGACGACGTGACTCGGCACGGCCCGAGGTCCACGCCGGACAAGCTGTCAGGTACACTACGGCGTGAGAAATGTGGTATGATTTCATAGTAAAATAATGTTGTGAACAGGAATGACACAACCTACAGGGTTCTAAGGGTCCACAAAGGAATCTCTACTTATTGAGACATTCAAGAAACTTCTTTCCTTTAATGGGTCATCCATATCATCTCATCGCAATATGGGACAGGCAACCTAGTAGCTAACAGCTGCCAACGTGGCACTAAGGTCAGCATCAGCCGCCAACACACCCTTAACAGCATCTGCGCGCGCCTTGATAGTCGCCTTCTTCTCCTTGTAGTATTCCACAGCATCAGCCTTACGCTTGGCCTCCAGCTCCTGAACATTACAAAAAAATTAACAAATTCCAAAACAAGGCAGAATGGGTTTCTAGTACCGCATCCAATACACCCAATGCAAAACCAGAAACTTGGGGCGATAAGCGCGCAAACGACCAGGGAAAAAAGGCAAGCTTCAAGGTCAAAAGGTGCTGAGTACTCAGACCGTTAATGTATTGCTTGAAATCCGTGGCTCACCTTGACAACATCCCAGTAGTGCCAGCCAACCTCATGGGCAAGGTGACCCAACAGACAGAACTTGTGCCCAGGCTTCAACCGCAGCACCCTGTGTGGTTAGTGCGTGGGTGGTGTGTGTGTTGCGTTTAGAAGAGAAAAGAGGAGGCGGAGGAGGAGGAGGAGGAGGAGGAGGGGGAGGAGGAGGAGGAGGGGGAGGAGGAGGAGGAGGAGGAGGAGGAGGAGGAGGAGGAGGAGGAGGAGGAGGAGGAGGAGGAGGAGGAGGAGGGGAGGAAAGGGAGGGAGGTGAGCGAAAGAGCAAATGAGGAAGGGAGGAGGAAAGGGTTGAGAGAGCGGGGGAGGGGAACTAAAACAAAGAGCACGGCTAGTGGCTAACGCAAGCAAAAGGTAGACTCGACGGCTGCAAGTCGTGGATTAAAAGATACAACCACACCAACTAAAACCGCATTCCACTCGGCTCATCAAGCAGTCAGCTTGATCCGTAGAGAACGCGCCACAGTCTAGCACAATATAGAACAGCAGCGCGGCGCGGCTTACTTAAGCGCGTCGGGGATGACGACTCGCTTCATCTTGTCGTAGGGCGCGGGGATGCCCTCGAACGCCTTCAGGCGGTCCAAAGCAGCGGCGCCGCGGGGAATCTTGTGGGGGATCATTCTGCCAGGGGGGCGGGGAGGCGGAAAAGCGAGAGAGAGCGCGGGAGGGGTGGCAGGTGAAACGAGTGCAGGGAACGTAATGCGGAAAAAGATTCGCGTCAAAAAAAGCGTGCGTGAAACGAGATCGCAGCAGCTTTCCAAGACAAAAGCTGTCAAGCATTGTACGACGGCGCAGTGCCCACTTGAGACCATTAAGAAAGGAACGAGGGGAGAGGAGGGGGCCGGCGGGGGCGGGGGAAGAGGTAACGAAGGGGAGGGGGAAAGGGAAGGGAGCATAGTACCCGCGGAGAGTGCGCCAGAAGATCTTGGAGGGCGCGCGGAAGTGGAAGGGGCCCTTGGAGGGCTTGGTGTTCATGCGCTTGCGGAGGAAGCGGAGGTACTTCATCTTCTGGCGCACCAGCCCGCCCGACAGGCAGATGTCCTCGCACCGCACCACGACCTGCGCGGATCGGGGGGGACAGGGGTAATGTGCCACGGGTTTGGTCAACGAGGCGAACAGGTTCAGGGATGTGATGTGTAGGCTAGGAATTTAGGCTGACCGTTAACTGATGCACTGCAACGCGGTTCACGGAACAAACGCGTGTGACGGAAAAAAAGCTTTACGACAAATGTTCGTGGTGACGGTTCCGCGACACATCATCCAATGCGTGCGGAAGGTTAGCGAGGCGCCTAAAGCTACGGGGATAATAATGGGAAAGGGAAAGGTGCACGTGTGAAACCCGCAGCGTCAGCGCAATTTAAGCCGAAGCAGCCTGATTTCCGAAAGAGGTATCCCAAATCCCGGTGTTGGATCCGCGACGCTACTGCGCAAACCCCACTCCTGGCGCCTAACCATAATCGCTATCTACAAATACAAAAAGTGTCTATAACAATAAAAGTCCTATCGTCTTTACCACATGCTGGCCGTTAAGGAGCTCCTTAGCGACGATCGACGCGAGGCGCCCCAGCATGTGGTGACGCGCGTCGACCACAATGGTCTGCTTCACCACTCCGCTGCCCGACACCATGATGCCTCTATAAACACGGAGCCTACTGCACAACTGGGAGGAAGGAGAGAAACCCTAAAGTTGCCGCTGGGTCAAGAAGTAATTGCGGTCCACGCGAAAAGCGTGAGAAACGGCGGGTGGAGGGGACGAGAGGGGAAAAGAGAGAGATGGTGAGCTGGGCTAGGAAGAAGAACAGCAAGGAGGAGAGGTTGGGGGAGGCGGGGAGGAATGCGGAGTGGGGAGAAATGACGCGCGCATACGGGGATGTGCAGGACGGCTTTGCGCGCATGGTCGGCTTGGGGAGGAAGATGAGCGGCGGAGAAAGTTGAAGTCACGCGCGGTAAACCTGATTGATGGCGTTGCGCCAGCGCTTACCAGCATTGCGCACAAAGAAACCCTTGCAAAACCCCTTCCGAAATTTCAGCTCACCCTAGTGAGGTGATTTCCCGAACCACATGTTACCAGCTAGTTCCGCCTCTCGTGGTTGGCTACCCAGCACCGAGGAACAATGAGCATGCACGTGCGAAACTCGAACACGATTGCAATGAAATTGCGACGGACAATGTACGAATTGTGATTTCGCTCAAGCGAAGTTGTCTCGCAGGCATCACAGGTGTAACTCATACTCGTTTAACACTACCCTGGCATAAGACTGTACTTCTATTCAACATGCATGACTTCATTCTGTCATGCAGGGAACGCACCTGTCATGCCCCTTTCTCATGCGTCACAGCACCAATAAAATAGGTTTTCTCCCACGCGTCAACCTGTGGAAGGCTTGATGCAGATTCCTCTCAGCCAGGGCTGACGACTATTAAAACCGGAGGGTCAAGAAGCACGAAACTGGTTCAAGCTTCCTAAGGTTGGTTGGGTGTTACCCGGTTTCCAGCGGAGGCAAGCTTTTGAAACACAAACCTGGTCCAGAACATTCGCCAAACTAGAACACTGTAGCAGCGACAAATGCCCAGTTGGGTTTCATCGCACGGCACATCGCCCAACACCAACCTGCGTAAACATGAGGCACACAGGCAAGAGAAACTTGTCCCAAAAACGCTACTGATTATTCGCGAGTTCTAGGACCCACTATTAGACCCGCGTAGCCCGCCAACTAGCCAACATACCGACAAGCGGGCGCGCGCTAATCACGAATTACAAAAGGTATGGGAGAGCTAAAGTCGCGGAAACCGACATTACCGGAAATGTAGTTGTGCGGCGTGACGTTAGCAGACCGATGGCCACGATTCGACCTGCAGAGCTATGCGACGTCGCATTTAGGTCACGATTTGCATTGCAGGGCAACGCGACGGCGACATTAGGTCACGACTTGCCCTGCAGGGCAACGCGACGGCGACATTAGGTCACGTTTTGGCCGGCAGGGCAACGCGACGGCGACATTAGGTCACGATTTGCCCTGCAAAGGCAATGCGACCTACAAACAGGCGGAGGTGCATGGGCAGGGGGGATCGCGTGGGCAGGGGGGATCGCGTGGGCAGGCGAAAGCACCTGGCTCACCTCCGCCTCGCTCACCTCCGCCTCTCTTATCCTCCGCCTCTCTCACCCTCCGCCTCTCTCACCCTCCGCCTCTCTCACCCTCCGCCTCTCTCACCCTCCGCCCAGGGCTCTTGCTAGGATCTGAGGGCGTCTGATTCTGTCAGACGGGTCCCCCAGGCAAAACAATTGTTTTGTCTGATCTAGATTGGAAAATCAGATGGATATAAAAAAATGAGTCTGAAAATCAGACCATCAGACCAAAATGGTCTGATAACGAGAGCCCTGCCTCCGCCTCTCTCACCCTCCGCCTCTCTCATCCTCCGCCTCTCTCACCCTCCACCTCTCTCACCCTCCGCCTCTCTCACCCTCCGCCTCTCTCACCCTCCGCCTCTCTCACCCTCCGCCTCTCTCACCCTCCGCCTCTCTCACCCTCCGCCTCTCTCATCCTCCGCCTCTCTCACCCTCCGCCTCTCTCACCCTCCGCCTCTCTCACCCTCCGCCTCTCTCACCCTCCGCCTCTCTCACCCTCCGCCTCTCTCATCCTCCGCCTCTCTCACCCTCCGCCTCTCTCATCCTCCGCCTCTCTCACCCTCCGCCTCTCTCACCCTCCGCCTCTCTCACCCTCCGCCTCTCTCACCCTCCGCCTCTCTCACCCTCCGCCTCTCTCATCCTCCGCCTCGCTCACCTCCGCCTCTCTCATCCTCCGCCTCTCTCACCCTCCGCCTCTCTCACCCTCCGCCTCTCTCACCCTCCGCCTCTCTCACCCTCCGCCACTTCTCTGGCTCAGTGCCTTTCCCCGCTCTCTCCCCCCTTACAACCACTCTTCATCTTCCCCCCCCTTCCGCCCTTCCTCTGTGTCCCCCTTGCTCATTCTCTCCTTCCGTGCATTCCTTGTTCCCTACCGCCGTTGCCCTTCCATTGTCATTGTTTTGTATCCTTCCCCGCCGCTTCAACTTTGACACATCCGAGTTGTGGTTCGTGTGTGTGCAGGTCTGCCATGCATCCAGTTGTGATGTGTTTGTTGTTTGATGATAGTGGTACCGTATCACAAATAGCTGTCATATATTGATGTTGGATGCTTCTCATAATGCACAACTTTGTGTTTTGGAGCAGAAATGCACATGACCATTACAAGGAAGTGCAACAAAGCAAGCTATAGGTTTCCAAGAGTGGACTATAGGCACATGCACAAAGCTAGGAGGTGGAACATTTCAATCCACTCCTGTCATGCCACGACCCATGGTGCTGGGCACCTGTACAAGCATGGTTCTGTGATGGAACAGGGAGCGAAGAGGGGATATGGCAGAATAAGCGAGGGGTGGAGGTGGAGGTACAGAAGGGCATGTATGGGAGGAGTGGACAAGGCAGAGGGGTGAGCAAAGGGGGAAAGGGAGTGAGCAGGGTGGAGAAGGGGGTGAGCAAAAGGGGAAAGAGAGTGAGCAGGGTGGAGAAGGGGGTGAGCAAAGGAGGAAGCAAGTAAGCAAGGGCTAAGGAGGGGTGCGAACAGGGGAAATGAGAGGACTTGGGGGTGGAAAAGGGTTGAACGAAGGGGAATAGAGAGTAAACAGGGGGAGAGATGGGTGAGTACAGGGGGAAAGGGAGGGTTGGCATGGGGGAAAGGGAGGATTATTGCAAGGAAAAGGGCGAGGGAGAGTGGGGGAAAGAGAGGGTAGGAGGGGGGGAAAGGGGGGGTAGGATTGGGGGAAAGGGGGGGTGTAAGTTGGGGAAAGACAGGGCAGTAGTGCGGGAAAGGGAGGTGCGTGGGGGAAGCGGAGGGTTGGCGTTGGTGAAAGGGAGGATTACTGTGTGGGAAAAGGGCGAGGGAGAGTGGGGTATTGTACGGGGAGGAGTGGGGGAATGGACGGGTGGGATTGGGGGACGGGTGGAACATTTCAACCCCTCACGGGTGGGTGTCGGGGAAGGAATTGGGAGCGGGAGAGAGGGTAATGGCAGGGTTGACGGGAAGGGGTTGGAAGAGTGTGGGGAAACAAAGTGAGCCGGCGGGATGAGAATGAGCAGGGGAGACAGAGTGAGCCGGAGAGATCAAGGTGTGTGAGGGTGATACTGCTGCTTGTAACCACTTCAGCTCGCAGGGCGGGTTGTGTGTGCGTGGAGGGGGAGTAGAGTGCGGTGGAGAGTGGTGAGGAGCTGGCATACCGTGTGGGGACGGGGGTGGGCGAGGTGTAACACAAGGGCGTCAGAGACAGCAGCAGAGGAGAGGTGGAGGTGTGTGAGGGATACTGCTGCTTGTAACCACAGCTAGCCGCAGGGCGGGGTGTGAGGGCGTGGAGGAGGAGTGGAGTGCGGTGGAGGCTGGTGCGGTGCGGAGGAGGAGGAAGCGTGGCGCCGCGCGAGTCGCAGAGGTCGTTGTGAGTGAGGACGCGAGGAGGTGAGGAGGGAAGAGGGAGGAGTGAGAAGAGGAGGAGATGAGGCAGAGGGAGAGGATGAGGAGGAGGGGAGAGGGAAGCCAATGGTAAGGAGGGGGCAGTGGGAGAGGTGCAGGGTGGTGAGGGAGGGGTGGACGGGTGGTGGGAGAGGGCAGTCCAGGAGAGGTTGGCGGAGAGCAGGCGGGGGAAGGCGAGGAGCAGCGCGGCAGAGGCGCCGGTGATGCTGCTGCCCCACACTCACCGATGGCGCGAGTGCACCAGCGACTGCAGGAGAAGGGGGGGAGGCGGGGGTGGAAAGGGGATGGTGGGAGTGGGAAAAAGGGGAGCATTGGCGCAGGATGCGTTAGCGCAAGTGAACCAACAACTTGAGGAAGAGTGGGTGGGGGATTGGGGGGGGGGAGGGGGAAGAGAATGAGCAGGGGAGACAGACAGAGGGGGACGGGAGAATGAGCAGGGCGATGGGAGGGGGGAGCGCGGGCGATGGGAGAGGGAAGTGCAGTCGACGGGCGGGGGATGTGTAGGCGACGGGAGGGGGAAGTGAGGAGCGACGGGAGGGGGAAGTGAGGAGCGACGGGAGGGGGAAGTGAGGAGCGACGGGAGGGGGAAGTGAGGAGCGACGGGAGGGGGAAGTGAGGAGCGACGGGAGGGGGAAGTGAGGAGCGACGGGAGGGGGAAGTGAGGAGCGACGGGAGGGGGAAGTGAGGAGCGACGGGAGGGAAAAGGGAAGAGCGGCAGGAGGGGATTAGTGAAGGCGTCGGGAGGGGGATGTGGAGGTGACGGGAGGGGGAAATGAAGGCGACGGGAGGGGGAAGTGAAGAGCAACGGGAGGGGGAAGTGAAGGGTGAGGCATCAGCGAAGTGTGACAGTTGACGCAAACCCTGGTGCAGGTTGCGGGGACGACGGGAGTCAGTGGGACGTTAGCGATGTCCGGAAAGTGAGGTGTGAGGGGATGGTGGTGCAGTGGCGTGAAGGATTTCCTATGCATCAGTGTGAGAGTAACAAAAATGCGGTCCGATCTTATTTTGAATCGCATGGACGCGAATGGGACGGGGCGTGCTCGACCGAGAGGAAGGGGGCATGGTGTGAGGACTACCGATTAGCGGCGTTTGGAGTTCCGAATCGTGGCGCCACCACCGCATTCAATCGTGGCGGAACTTGCTGGCGGCGTGAGCAACCGCAATGGCAAGGTGAGGGTAGGGAATGTAGGTGGTAAGCAGTTGGCGGCTTGAATGTGCCTGCTGTACTTGCAAGCGCGCTGCGTTATCCTAGGCATAAATGTCGCTGTTATCAAGGGAAAAGCTGGACGCTCCCTTTCTTCGCATGCACATTCGTATCTCGTGAAACAGGTGACAGTCAGGCAGAGGCCCTTGGACGGACTATGATGAATAGCTACTACTTCCGCTTACTTAGGTCATCGAAGTGGTGTGTTCTCGATGGACGAAATGTTGAGCTGGGGTGTGGTGACTGGTCGTATCGATTGTTGGGGGTGTGTCTGTCGCACTAGACTTCGGGTAACTCGGGCGAAAATGATTTAGCACGCGAACATCGTCCAACGTCTTCGACACTCCCAGACCTCGCTGGCCAATAGTAAGTTCCTACCCAACCAACCTTCCTAAGCTTGAAAGTTGTGGCCTGCGGGTTTTAAATCACTTTTGCAGGCCAGCGTTCAAGTTTCGAGTTTGTATTCCTTTCAACCGGTGTGATTCCGTCCACCGTTCGTCCCTGGCTTCATCAGCGGCAGCCACGGCGAAGCGTTTGCAGGGGAAGGTCGCCGTAGTGACAGCATCCACTGCGGGTATCGGCCTCGGAATAGTGGAACGGCTTGGCCAAGAAGGCGCATCAGTGGTCGTCTCATCGCGCAAGCAGGCGAACGTCGATACAGCCGTCGCACGGCTTCGCGAAAAGGGTATAGATGCGATGGGGATGGTCTGCCACGTGGGAAGCGCTGAGCACCGTCGGAAATTGGCCGAAGCCGTGGTTGCCAAATATGGTCGTGTGGATATTTTTGTGTCGAACGCAGCCGTTAATCCGACGTTAGGGCCAATCCTGGACATGGGGGAGCGTGAGCTAGATAAGTTGCTAGATACCAACATCAAGGCAGCAGTTCTGCTGGTTAAGGAGATGGCTCCGCACATTCCGCCAGGGGGGAATATCGTTTTTGTTGCGTCCATCGCCGGATTCAACCCGATTGCCATGCTTGGCATGTACTCCGTGACCAAGACTGCTCTATTGGGTCTCACCAAAGCTCTGGCTGTCGAGTTGGCTCCAGAAGTTCGTGTGAATTGTGTTGCTCCGGGGATTGTTCCGACTCAGTTTGCGAGTTACTTGGTGGAGAATGAGGGGATTAGGAAGGAGACAGAGGAACGCACGCTTTTGAAGAGGCTGGGCGCTCCGTCAGATATAGCTGGTGCTGTCGCCTACTTGGCGTCAGATGACGCGTCGTATGTCACTGGCGAGACCATTGTGGTGGCTGGCGGAATGCAGTCTCGCTTGTGAACCAGCCTGTGCATCTGAGATGAGAGGTTATCTGCATTGTGGGATGAGATTGTACTTGGACCCAAATGGATGAAGGTGTGTAGAAGACTAATCGCGATTGGCATTTTTGGTGTGGCACTTAAATCCTATCCTGTCCACCATTTTGTGATAGCATACATTTTTTTATATGGAGCCACGTTATATTGAGGAAGTCGCAATGGTCGGATCAAGCTAGTCTTTACGCGCAAAACTTTGCACTGTAGTCGTAGAAGACCCACGTGCACTGTTCCCGCGCTATGGATGACGTGGACGGTGGCATTTTTTGTGAACTCCGTTTCTTCGACGGATTCCGCTCCAGCCATTCTCTGTCGCAACGCAACGCAACCACTCCGCTCGTCGTCTCAAAGTCGTCGCCCGCAAGTAACAGGAGGTGGCTGACCTGGATGGATGCTTTTCATCGCAGGACAAGCTCTTGCTGCAAAATTGCTGTCCCTGACTACACTGTCGCCGCGAATCGGCTGGCAGCGTCGCCAGTTAGGCGTCTGTCGTCAACCTCTTACTGTCGTCGCACAGACGCCGTAAGGTCGCGCACCGCCAACTTGCCAACCCCAAGGTGGCCCTTGGAATTCTCGCCGACTGAGCGTTTTTCCATCAGTTCCCCAAAACCAAGGGTACTCCTTTATCCCTCTTGTAAGAACAATCCGAGCCGCAACACAACAATCTCTGCCTCCCTTGGTATTGGTTTACCTGTTCTCTAGGTTGAACCCTCTTCATCAAGCATCCAGTTTTCATGACTGAGCATCATTGTTGAGTGCTTATCCTGAGTGGGACCAGCAGTCATTCATAACAAGCCGACCTAGAACTTTTTGACTCATATGTACAGACGAATATGCGGAAGCGTTGTTGGATTCTCTGCTGGAACCTAGCGAACACCTTGTGTTCTGGCATTTTCAGTGTGAATGGAATACTCTTAATGGACAAGAAACGATGACCCTAACGTTGCTCTACGAGAGTCATAGAGCTGATTCATTGCGCTCAGATATTTCGTCGTTGGACCAGGCACCGTAGCCATGGCTCAGATTATTCGAAGGCTTTGGGCTCCAAAGCCCGTAAAGCATCATGCACCAAGAGGGCTCCTCGGCGTTAGCGAACGAGTGTACGGTGCGTGCTCGCCTCCTCGTTTCCTTTCAGGAAGTTATTATTTCTCGTCGTCAGTAGACTCCGTCCAGTGAGGAAAGTTCATCAAACCGTCGGATAATGCCACGGTTAGCATTAAGGTTATCAATTTCCTTGAGGTGATCAGTGTCGAACTCTAAGCTAGAACGGCGGTTGTTCGCCGAGTTTGACCATCGCTTGGTATCCCCATAAATCCTCCTCCTACACACCCTCATTTTGCAATCCGTGGATTTCAAGGTCAGCAGTAGTATGACCTATTCGTCCGTGTCGTCCGTGAAAAGTATCCAGCTTGTGTCGCCTTTCGTTATTCTCTCTCCTCCCTCCCCCCGGTGCAACGCCACGAACGCATATGACACCGACACCATCCGTCCCCATCTACACCAGATTGGAGCTTTGCACGAAACATTCAAATCCTTTTCTCTTCTTTTCTCTTCTCCTCCATTCCCATCCCCTCCCCTCTCATCCCCTCCATCCCTTCCCTCCGCTCCCCGCTACCCGTCCCATCGTCGCGCCTGCCTGCCTGCAGTGTTCTCCTCGTGCAACTCCGCAGAGGCCCACGACAAGGAGACCTACCGCGCGTATCTACACCAGGTGGCGGCAGAGCTCAACGAAACGTATCCCGAGGGCTCCTTTCTCGTCTTCAACTTCCGCCAGGGCCACCCGTCCGCGTCGTCGTCCCGGCGGAGCCTCCTGGCGGAGGTTCTGGCGGAATTCGAGATGACTGTGCTGGAGTATCCGCGGCACTATGAGGGGTGTCCCATTCTGCCGCTCGACATGGTGCAGCATTTTCTGCGGAGCAGCGACAGCTGGCTGAAGCATGCGGACGAGGTGGATGATTTTCACCACCAGAGCCCCACGGTTGCTACCGCTGATGCTGCTGCTGCTGCTGCTGCTGCTGCTGCTGCTGCTGCTGCTGCAGTTGCTTCCCGGATAGGAGCGGATGGAGGTACAGGGTGTGGGGAGGATGCGGAGTTGGATGAGCTTGGGAACGGGTGTGGGAATGGATGCGAGAGAGGAGGAAGGGATGGTGAGATGGAGGTGAGGAATGGCGAGACTGCGCAGGTACCTACAGCGTCACCTCCGCGTCGGACTCTTTTCCCACCTCCTTCTCCTTTCCCCCGGTCTCAGTCACACTCAACAAGCCATCATCACCACCATCACAACCATCACAACCATGCAGACCACCACCACCATCACCATCACCATCACCATCACCATCACGACCACCAGCATCACCAGCATCACCAGCACCCGCAGCACCAGCAGGAGCACAACCACGAGCAGAACGTGGTGCTGTTTCACTGCGAGCACGGCGGGTGGCCTGTGCTGTCGTTCATGATCTCGTGCTTCCTGGTATATCGCAAGCAGGGTGCCCTCACAGCCATGAGCGAGGAGGAAACGCTGCTGGCAGTGCAGAAGGGCGGAGGGTCGAGGGAGTTGCTCAAACTGCTGTACCCTGTTGACCCCACTGCGTCTCAGGTCAGTGCAGCTGAACTCGCCACCTTTTTCCTTTGCTCCCTTGCGTTAATTTTCTCAGCATCCTATACAAACTACTGTGCTCCATTAATATTCTCTTCACCCCGTTTCCTTCCTTCTGCTCCTGGCTCCCATCTTCCTCACCCCCCCAGACCCCTGGTTCCTGCCTGTCTCATCTCCCCTTTCCGGCCCCACTTTCCTCCTGTCACCATCTCCCTCTTTGCAAACCAAACCCGCCCCCCCCGTCTCCCCCCACAATAGGTGCGGTACCTTGAGTACGTGAGTCGGCGAAGCAGCATGCCCACGTGGCCCCCAGAGGAGCGCGTGGTTCAACTCGACTGCATGATCCTTCGTACGGTTCCCAGATTCGATTCTGCGGGCGGCTGCCGCCCGGCAATCAAGATCTACGGGCGGGTCCCTGAGAGCACGCACAGGGAGACGACGCTGCTGTTCCACAGCCTGAAGCGGGCGCAGAGGGGATGGGGGACGCCGCCGGGGGGAGGATGGGGCGGTGGCACGCCAAGGGGAGGCTGGGGAACGCCTGGGGGAGGGTGGGGAACGCCAGGAACGCCTGGAGGAGGGGGGTGGGGGACGCCAAGAGGGGGGGGAGGGTGGGGGACGCCGATGGGGGGCGGAGGGTGGGGGACGCCGAGAGGGGGAGGAGGGTGGGGAACGCCGAGGGGTGGGGGATGGGGAACGTCTGGGGGAGGATGGGGGACGCCACAGGCAACTCCTAGAGGAGGAGGGAAGGGGGGATTCATTCCGCACTACAAGCAGGTAGGAGAGGAGGAAACTTTTGAGGCGCCTCAAAGGTGGGGGATGGGGAACGCCTGGGGGACGCCACAGGCAACTCCTAGAGCAGGGGGAAAGGGGGGTTTCATTCCGCACTACAAGCAGGTAGGAAGGAGGGATTTGAGAGTTGAAGGCTGATAGGAGGTCTGATGAGGAAAAGGAGGGTGAAATGAAGGGAAGGGGTGGTTGGGATAAGTTGGAATGAGAAGGTGTGGAGCTGTGGAGCTGATTGCAGAGGCGACGTGGTGGTGTAGTGCCCCCTTTGAAAACTCCCCAATCCCCCCCCTCCCTTCCGCCCGTCCCCCCGTTCCTCCCCGCCCCCCCGCTTCTCAGGGCGACATGGAGGTGGTGAAGGTGAACGTGCAGGTGGCAGTGCAGGGAGACGTGGTGGTGGAGTGTATGCGTCCCGTTGAACTGCCTCGATACCTCTTTTTTTTTCCCCCCTGCTCCTCCACCCCAACATCCCCTCCCCAGGGAGACACAGAAGTGGTGAAGGTGAACGTGCAGGTGGCGGTGCAGGGGGACGTGGTGGTGGAGTGCGTGCATGTGGACGAGGAGGGCGAGGGCGAGGCGGTGATGTTCCAGGTGGTGTTCAACACGGCCTTCCTGCGCTCCAACATGCTGCTGCTCGACCGCCACCAGCTCGATATCCTCTGGGACGCCAGCGCCAGCTTCTCAGAGGATTTCCGGGTCGAGGTGAGAGAGAACGGGAGAAAGAGCCGCTGGTCGCAGGTCGTAGGTTGAAATGATGCAACAATGGTCGTTCATTCGGTCAAACCCACTGATGTTTTCTTTGTGGCCTTCCCCTCCTTCCCCGTCGTCTCCTGCTCTGCTGTCTGCTCACGATTGTGACCCACAGCGTCACCCTCCTCTTCCCCCATTCCTTCCACCCATCCTGCCCCCCTCCCCGCCACAGCTTCTATTCGCAGAGCCGGACCACGACATCCCACCCACGCCCTCGCCCAGGTTCTTCCACAGCGACTCCTCCCGGTTCTCACCACACCACTCCACCACCCCATCAGCGTCTTCCTCCCCTCTCCCCGACGAGGACTTTCAGACGCTCGCTGCTCTCTTCCAGTCATCCCACTGGTCTCCTGACGACAGCCGCAGGGCTCTGGATCACCTCCGCTTGCAGCTCCTGGGGGAAGCCTCAGGCGCAGGAGGAGGAGGAGCAGGTGTAGCAGGACCTCCTGGTTCCCCTGGGTTCTCGATTCCGCCTTCGCTTGCCGCGTCGCTTGGGTCGGGTTCGGTTCCAGGTTCGGTGCTAGGGTCGCTCGCTGGGTCGCTGTGTGGTTCGGCTGCCGCGTCTGCTGTATGCTCGCCAAGAGCTGCTGCTGCAGCAGCTGCTGGTGGTTTTCCTGGCAAGCTCACTCATCCCCAGGTGCAGCTGCTGCGGAGATCGGGTGCTGCTGGTGGTGGTGGTGGTTCGGGCGAATTCTCCGGCCCGCTCTCTCCTGCTTTGTTCACGTCCACGTCAGCGAATGAACGGCAGCACGAGGCACTGCCCAAGTGGTCCATTCATGACGTGGAGGAGGATGAGGAGGCTGATTTCTCCAAGCTCGTGGATGAGCCTGGTGATGAGTCATCATCTCGTGACACGTCACCGACTCTCTCCAGTGACGTGATTGGCTCGCGGGGATCCACCAGAGAGTCCAGCTCATCACCTCCCGCGAACCACAAGCTTTTCTCCTCTCCTCGCAGTTCTTCTGCTTCTGCTGCTGCTGGTGGTGGTGGTGGTAGGAGCGGTAGCAGTGGTGCTGGTGTAACTAGAGCAAGGCAGAGAGCAGGTAGAAAAGCAGCACAAACAGGCAGACTAGGGAAGGTGGATGTGAGTGCGTTGAGCGTGGGAGTGCTGTTCGGGGGGTCTGTGGAGGAGGATGATGAGGAGGAGGAGGACGAGGAGGAGGAAGGGCTGGGGGAGGAAGGCTCTCGAGAGAAGCAGATGAGGATGCTGCGGTTCTTAGGCAGGTTTGGTGCACCTGATGCTGGTGGTGGCGGCGGCGCAGGTGGTGGTGGTGGTGGTGGTGGTGGAAGAAGTGTTGGGTCTGGCTCAGGACTTAGAAGCAGTCTGGATGGAGGGATTGCAGGAGGTGGAAGGGGACGGGGAGGAGTGGGAGGAGTGGAAAGCGGTACTGGGAATCATCACTCTGGTAAAGTGGGATTTGCAACGTCAACCGTGGGTGAGCATGGGGATCTGGCCAGTGCAAGAGGAACAGCTGGGCTAGTTTTAGGGTTTGGTCGGAGGTCAGTAGAGGGTGAATCAGGGCCGGGAACAGGGAGAAGAAAAGCAGCAGCAGGAGCAGGAGCAGGAGTAACAGCTGGGGGGGTTGACAGTGACAAACACGCTGGGGTGGGGCGTGCAAGGGAAGGGTTGCAGGGGCTGCGAGGGAAAGAGCTGCTGGAGATTCCCCGGCATAAGCTAAAGCAGGCGCGCACCCACAAGCACGCGCATGAGCTCGCTCTCTTGCCTCTTGATCTGGCTGGTGGTGGCCCGTCGCTGTTTCGCTTTGAGCATGACCTTCCTCTGCCTGCTGTGCTGGCAGGGAAGGGTGATGTAGGGTTAAGAATGAATGATTTGAGAAGGGAGGAGGGTAGCAGAGGGAAGGAGACGCTTGGTGGAGGAGCAGAGACGAGGTGGAAGGGAAAGGAAGGTGGAATGTCGAGTGGCGTGAGTGTGGAAGCAGCAGGAGCCAGGGGAGGGGACGGGCAAGCCTCGGAGGGGTTGACAGATGGGGGTAAGGTGGGAGGGGCGGAAGGAGGAGGGCATGAGACGCAGGAGAAGGGTGGAGCAGAGAGCACGGAAGGATCACCTTCGGACTGGAACGAATCCCGCAGGAAGTCTCGGAGGGAGTTTGTCAAGGGCCTGTCTCTCAAGATCCCTGACAGCGCAGCAGGTGACAACGACGGAGGGAGCAGTGACGGCGGGGGGAAGGAGAACGACGTAGACGACCGCAATGGTATCATCCGCAGCAGTAGCAGCAGAAGAAGCGGCGGGTTGGAGGATGGGGCTCCTTTGTCTGTTCGGGAGCGGTGCGCGTCCCTAGGCAGCAGAGGAGGGAGCTTCAAGGGGGGGAAAGGGTCCATGGATAGTCCCTCTGCGCCCAAACTGGGCTCTGAATTGGCGTCTCTAGGGAGCAGATCAGGCAGGGTAGCGCAGCTGAGATTGAGCCTATTACAAGAGCTGGAGAAGGAGAAGGAGAAGGATGGAGTGGCAGGGGCAGGAGCAGGGGCGGGGGCAGGAGTGGTGGCACATAGTTCGCCTAGGCCAGTCGTGGATGAGTGCTTGTCTGCTAGGCATAAGCTGCATGTGGTGTGGCCCCCTCCTGGGCATATGCTTGCTGGAGGGGATGGTGGAGGAGGGGGCGGTGGTGCTGGTGGTAGGGGTGGTGGGAGAGGGAGCGGGAAGCGGCATTCCACAGGGGGGATTGGGATGGAGGGAGCGGAGGAGAGGAAGGGGTCTGGGCTGGTGAGGAGTTTCAGCCGGCGGTTCAGTGGTGGTGATGTGGGGTTGAAGCTGAATAAGGTGCAGACACCAAACGCTGCTGCGGCTGCTGCTGCGGCTGTGATTCTCAGCTCGCCCGTTCCATCCATTGCTGCTGATTCTGCTGCTTCTCCTGCTGCTGGTGCTGCTGCTGCAGCTGGTGCTGGTGCTGGTGCTGGTGCAAGTGGCATTGATGGAGTGCGCACTGCAGCAAGGGGGGATGCAGCTGAGAATCCAGATGCTGCTGCTGCTCCCTCGAACACTGCCTCTTCCTGCTCTCCCCCTCGTTCCTCTGCTCGCAGCACGGCAGTTCCTCTCAGTTCCTCCCCTGCAGCGCCTTCAACAGGAGCACACCAACCACCTCCTACCGCTTCCCCTCCACCACCACCCCCACCTCCTCCCCCTGCTCCACCTCCACCTCCTCACCCGTCTGGAAGTGCGGTGCCAACCCCCCCTCCTCCTCCACCCTCACCCCCCCCACCTCCTCCCGGATCAGCCCCCCCTCCGCCCCCCCCTCCTCCCCCTCCCCCACCCGCCCGCCCACCCGGGGCGCCTCCCCCTCCCCCGCCTCCTCCTGGCGCTCCTCCCCCTCCCCCACCCCCACCCGCCCCCCCTGCCCCTCCAGGCAGAGGCCCACCTCCCCCTCCTCCCCCTCCCCCTGGGAAGGGTGCACCTCCCCCTCCCCCACCTCCTCCTGGCAGGGGCGCACCTCCCCCACCCCCACCCCCGCCTGGAGCCCGCGGTCCCCCTGGTCCCCCACCCCCCCCGCCTCCCCCTGGTGCACCACGAGGCCCCCCAGGCGGCCCTCCCCCTTCCCTTCCCCCCCCTGGCGCACCAAGAGGTCCCCCAGGCGCCCCTCCCCCTCCCCCTGGACCCAAAGGTCCTCCGCCCCCTCCCCCTCCGGGGGGGAAGCTTCCGCCACCTCCCCCCCCTGGGGGGAAGCTGGCGCCCCCTCCTCCACCAGGGGCAGGGAGAGGGGCGGGAGTGGGGGCCCACCAGCAGCACTACCATCAGCAATCAGGGGCAGCTGGGGCTGCTGTTGCGGGTGTGAGGAGAACGCCTCTCAAGTCATTTTACTGGGGGAAGGTGGTGCGGCCAGTGGAGGATAGCCTGTGGGCGGTGTCTCAGAGTGACCCAGACAGCAGAGTGTACGTGCTGATGATGCTGCTGCTAATGCTGCTGCTAATGCTGCTGCTAATGTTGCTGCTAATGCTGCTGCTAATGCTGCTGCTAATGCTGCTGCTAATGCTGCTGCTAATGCTGCTGCTAATGCTGCTGCTAATGCTGCTGCTAATGCTGCTGCTACCTCCCCTCGCCCTCCTCCCCGTGCCCTCCTTGCCTGCAGCAACCTGGAGCTGAATCTGGAGGAGCTAGAGGATCTCTTCTCAGCAGCACCGCCACCCAAGGCAGTCAAGCCAAAGCAGCAAGAGACAGCCAAAGTGGAGAAAGTTACCCTGGTGGGTTGGGTTTAAGCTCCTTCTTTCTTTCTTTCTTTCTTTCTTTCTTTCTTTCTTTCTTTCTTTCTTTCTTTCTTTCTTTCTTTCTTTCTTTCTTTCTTTCTTTCTTTCTTTCTTTCTTTCTTTCTTTCTTTCTTTCTTTCTTTTATTCTCCCCCCTTTCCTCCCTCCTCCCTCCCCACCCCCCTCCCTCCCTTGCCTCGCACACTCACATATGCTACTCCCTCACTCCTTCACCTTGCTTTTGCCCCTCGCTTCTTGCTTCCTTGTCCCTCACTCCCCATCCCACCACCCCTCTCCTCCACCCACCGTCCCCCACCCCTACCCCCCCTCCTCTGTCTCTTACAAGTTACACCCACCTTTTTTTTCCCCGTTTCTCTCCTCCTCCCTACCTCTTGCATCGACCTAAGCTGACCTGTCCTGCCACTCTATGCCCTGTGCGTTCTGTCATGTTTCATCTCGTTTTGGCTTCTTAGCTCCGCTCCGCCCTTTCTGATTCCGATTCATCCTTGGGCTGGGCTTTTGAGGCGCCTCAAAAGTATGCCCTGTGCGTTCTGTCATGTTTCATCTCTTTTTGGCTTCTTAGCTCCGCCCTTTCTGATTCCGATTCATCCTTGGGCTGGGCTGGGCTGGGCTGGGCGGGGCGGGGCTTGGCTTGGCTGGGCTGTGTGCAGATTGACATGAAGCGCTCCAACAACTGTCTCATCATGCTCTCTAATTTCAAGAAGTACACCTACGCGCAGCTTGTGGTGAGTCGTACATACCAATCCAACCCGCAGCTCAGGGTGAGTCGTCCCACCCAGCAGCATCTGGTGATTCGCTGCTGTGTGCTGCTAACACTGCTGCTCGCGTGACACGGGCATGCAGCTTCCTTCCTTCACTCATCCCCACTTTCTTTCTCGCCCTTTTGCCTCTGCCTCTCTCGAACGGTCCTCATCTACTCCACTCCTTCATGCCCGTCTGCTCCAATCAGCCTGCAGTGCAGGCTGCACACACGCCCCCCCCACACACAGAATGTGCGCTCTGGTCATAGCAGAGATGAACGGAGCTGGCGCTGGACATGCACTGAACTCGGCAAATTTGAAACAAGGAGGGAGCATGCGTGCCGCGCCGCGCACGCCTCAAACCTCTCCTCACTCACTCTTCCAGTCTCCTCCCTGCCTCACCTTTGTTCCCTTACCCGTCCCCTTCCTTTGTCCTGATTGTACTGTTCCCCTGTGCTGCTCTAACCACAGGACTCGGAGCTGGATCTAGACACGACAGTGCTGAACGAGGAGGGCGTGGTCCGTGGAGGCTCTGCACACAGAAGGACATTCAAACATGTCTCCCCTTCACTTCTTCTCCGCTCCTGTTCTCCCATTGTTATGCTCTGCTACCACTGCGCAGGATGCAGTGCTGGCGCTGGACACAACAGTGCTGAACGAGGAGGGCGTGGAGGCCCTGCACAAGTTCAGCCCCACCAAGGAAGAAATAGAGCTGCTCAAGGTGTGCTCTAGTCTCTCGTCTCGTGAGCCGTGGGCCACGGGAGGGAGGTGGCACGGCTTGGCACGATGTTTCGTTTCACCCACTTGAGCTGGCTGGCAGGAAACTGGATGCAATGCTTCCCAGCGTAGATGCTGCTGTGTTTTGCTGTTTTCTTGTGCTTCCTTTCCGGATCTTGCTCCTGGTGTTAATGTTGCTCATCGTCTGTGTGTTCGTGCCATGTGTGTCTGTGCATGTGGGTGTGCATGTTCCTGTACATGTGCATGGATGGGCATATGATGTGGATGTGCATGTTGTACCTGCTGCAGTCTTTCCCTGGGCCAAAGGAATCGCTGGGACTATGCGAGCAGGTAAGGAAGCAAGCAAGCAAGCACGAGTGACCTTCATGCTTTCCCCCTTCGCTAGCGCACGCGCGCACTCTTCTTGACCTGAACCACCCAATCCCCGTTCACTAATCGACCGCAACGCAAGCCATCACTTCAACCACCATCACTTCAATTCAACCACCATGGCTCCCCTCTCCACCCATACATCACACTCGTCCATTCATTTGTCCTTTCCCTTCCCTCCCTCCCGTGCTCCGCCTTCCAGTTCTTCCTGGAAATGATCCGAGCACCTTGCGTGGACTTCTGGGGCGCCTCAAAAGCCCATTTGTCCTTTTCCTTCCCTCCCTCCCTCCCTCCCGTGTTCCCGTCCCCAGTTCTTCCTGGAAATGATCCGAGTGCCTCGCATAGAGCGCAAGCTCCTCGCATTCCAGTTTAAGCTCTCCTTCTCACGACAGGTCCGTCCGTCCCTGCGATGCGACCCCCCCTCCTCCCTTCATCGTCGTCGTATCGTAACCGCTGCCGCACGTGATCTGTTGTCCCAGGTCCTTCCTCTCTTCCGCCCTCTTCTGTCCCGTTTTCTGCTTTCCTGCTGCATACCTTCCTGGCCTGTGCCTGCCCTCGTCCCTCATCCCTCACCCCTCATTTCATCCCTCGTCCCTCATCCCTCACCCCTCATTTCATCCCTCGTCCCTCATCCCTCACCCCTCATTTCATCCCTCGTCCCTCATCCCTCACCCCTCATTTCATCCCTCGTCCCTCATCCCTCACCCCTCATTTCATCCCTCGTCCCTCATCCCTCACCCCTCATTTCATCCCTCGTCCCTCATCCCTCACCCCTCATTTCATCCCTCGTCCCTCATCCCTCACCCCTCATTTCATCCCTCGTCCCTCATCCCTCACCCCTCATTTCATCCCTCGTCCCTCATCCCTCACCCCTCATTTCATCCCTCGTCCCTCATCCCTCACCCCTCATTTCATCCCTCGTCCATCCATCATCCCGCAACACTCATCCACCACCACCATGGATGGTTGTTTGGTGGCATCACAGGCAGTGGATGTGCGTCACAGCATGGAGCTGGTCATACAGGCATGCAAGGAGGTGAGCCTGCTGCTCCTGCTCCTCCTCCTCCTCCTCCTCCTCCTCCTCCTCCTCCTCCTCCTCCTCCTCCTCCTCCTCCTCCTCCTCCTCCTCCTCCTCCTCCTCCTCCTCCCGTTGCTGTTCAATCTTCTGCTGCTCCTGCTTCTTTTGCTGCTGCTGCTGCTGCTGTAGGGGTGGATTTCTGCTGCTTATGACATGCTCCTGGTCAAGCCATAGCTTCTGGACGTGCAGCCTCTCCCATCTGTCCTGAGCGCCCTACCCTCTGCAAATGCTCCCTGTGTAGCTGACCCGATGCTGCACGTCGCATGCCCCTCGCTCCATGCCAATGCCCCATGCCCCATGCCCATGCCCCATGCCCCATTGCCCATGCCCCATGCCCCATTGCCCATGCCCCATGCCCCATGCCCCATTGCCCATGCCCCATGCCCCATTGCCCATGCCCCATGCCCCATTGCCCATGCCCCATGCCCCATTGCCCATGCCCCATGCCCCATTGCCCATGCCCCATTGCCCATGCCCCATGCCCCATGCCCCATGCCCCATGCCCCATTGCCCATGCCCCATGCCCCATGCCCCATGCCCCATTGCCCATGCCCCATGCCCCATGCCCCATGCCCCATGCCCCATGCCCCATGCCCCATGCCCCATGCCCCATGCCCCATTGCCCATGCCCCATGCCCCATTGCCCATGCCCCATGCCCCATTGCCCATGCCCATGCCCATTGCCCATGCCCCATGCCCCATTGCCCATGCCCCATTACCCATGCCCCATGCCCCATGCCCCATGCCCCATGCCCCATTGCCCATGCCCCATGCCCCATGCCCCATGCCCCATGCCCCATGCCCCATGCCCCATGCCCCATGCCCCATGCCCCATGCCCCATGCCCCATGCCCCATTGCCCATGCCCCATGCCCCATGCCCCATTGCCCATGCCCGATGCCCCATGCCCCATGCCCCATGCCCCATGCCCCATTGCCCATGCCCCATGCCCCATGCCCCATGCCCCATTGCCCATGCCCCATGCCCCATGCCCCATGCCCCATTGCCCATGCCCCATGCCCCATTGCCCATGCCCCATGCCCCATGCCCCATGCCCCATGCCCCATGCCCCATGCCCCATGCCCCATGCCCCATGCCCCATTGCCCATGCCCATGCCCCATTGCCCATGCCCCATTGCCCATGCCCATGCCCCATGCCCCATTGCCCATGCCCCATGCCCCATGCCCCATTGCCCATGCCCCATGCCCCATGCCCCATTGCCCATGCCCCATGCCCCATTGCCCATGCCCCATGCCCCATGCCCCATGCCCCATTGCCCATGCCCCATGCCCCATGCCCCATGCCCCATTGCCCATGCCCCATGCCCCATGCCCCATTGCCCATGCCCCATGCCCCATGCCCCATTGCCCATGCCCCATGCCCCATTGCCCATGCCCCATGCCCCATGCCCCATGCCCCATGCCCCATTGCCCATGCCCCATGCCCCATGCCCCATGCCCCATGCCCCATGCCAAATGCCCCATGCCCCATGCCCCATTGCCCATGCCCCATGCCCCATTGCCCATGCCCCATTGCCCATGCCCCATGCCCCATGCCCCATGCCCCATTGCCCATGCCCCATGCCCCATGCCCCATGCCCCATGCCCCATGCCCCATTGCCCATGCCCCATGCCCCATTGCCCATGCCCCATTGCCCATGCCCCATGCCCCATGCCCCATGCCCCATGCCCCATGCCCCATTGCCCATGCCCCATGCCCCATGCCCCATTGCTCATGCCCCATGCCCCATGCCCCATTGCCCATGCCCCATGCCCCATTGCCCATGCCCCATGCCCCATGCCCCATGCCCCATGCCCCATTGCCCATGCCCCATGCCCCATTGCCCATGCCCCATGCCCCATGCCCCATTGCCCATGCCCCATGACCCATGCCCCATTGCCCATGCCCCATGCCCCATTGCCCATGCCCCATGCCCCATGCCCCATGCCCCATGCCCCATTGCCCATGCCCCATGCCCCATGCCCCATTGCCCATGCCCCATGCCCCATGCCCCATGCCCCATTGCCCATGCCCCATGCCCCATGCCCCATTGCCCATGCCCCATGCCCCATGCCCCATTGCCCATGCCCCATGCCCCATGCCCCATGCCCCATGCCCCATGCCCCATTGCCCATGCCCCATGCCCCATGCCCCATTGCCCATGCCCCATGCCCCATTGCCCCATGCCCCATTGCCCCCATGCCCCCATGCCCCATTGCCCATGCCCCATGCCCCATGCCCCATGCCCCATTGCCCATGCCCCATGCCCCATTGCCCATGCCCATGCCCCATGCCCCATGCCCCATTGCCCATGCCCCATGCCCCATTGCCCATGCCCATGCCCCATGCCCCATGCCCCATGCCCCATGCCCCATGCCCCATGCCCCATGCCCCATGCCCCATTGCCCATGCCCCATGCCCCATGCCCCATGCCCCATTGCCCATGCCCCATGCCCCATGCCCCATGCCCCATTGCCCATGCCCCATGCCCCATTGCCCATGCCCCATGCCCCATGCCCCATGCCCCATGCCCCATGCCCCATGCCCCATGCCCCATGCCCCATGCCCCATGCCCATGCCCCATGCCCCATTGCCCATGCCCCATGCCCCATGCCCCATTGCCCATGCCCGATGCCCCATGCCCCATGCCCCATGCCCCATGCCCCATTGCCCATGCCCCATGCCCCATGCCCCATGCCCCATTGCCCATGCCCCATGCCCCATGCCCCATGCCCCATTGCCCATGCCCCATGCCCCATTGCCCATGCCCCATGCCCCATGCCCCATGCCCCATGCCCCATGCCCCATGCCCCATGCCCCATGCCCCATGCCCCATTGCCCATGCCCCATGCCCCATGCCCCATGCCCCATTGCCCATGCCCCATGCCCCATGCCCCATGCCCCATGCCCATTGCCCATGCCCCATGCCCCATGCCCCATTGCCCATGCCCCATGCCCCATGCCCCATTGCCCATGCCCCATGCCCCATGCCCCATGCCCCATGCCCCATGCCCCATGCCCCATGCCCCATGCCCCATTGCCCATGCCCCATGCCCCATGCCCCATGCCCCATGCCCATGCCCCATGCCCCATGCCCCATTGCCCATGCCCCATGCCCCATTGCCCATGCCCCATGCCCCATTGCCCATGCCCCATGCCCCATGCCCCATGCCCCATTGCCCATGCCCCATGCCCCATGCCCCATGCCCCATGCCCCATTGCCCATGCCCCATGCCCCATGCCCCATGCCCCATTGCCCATGCCCCATGCCCCATGCCCCATTGCCCATGCCCCATGCCCCATTGCCCCATGCCCCATGCCCCATGCCCCATGCCCCATGCCCCATGCCCCATGCCCCATGCCCCATTGCCCCATGCCCCATGCCCCATGCCCCATGCCCCATTGCCCCATGCCCCATGCCCCATGCCCCATGCCCCATTGCCCATGCCCCATGCCCCATGCCCCATTGCCCATGCCCCATGCCCCATGCCCCATTGCCCATGCCCCATGCCCCATGCCCCATGCCCCATGCCCCATGCCCCATGCCCATGCCCCATGCCCCATGCCCCATGCCCCATGCCCCATGCCCCATGCCCCATGCCCCATGCCCCATGCCCCATGCCCCATGCCCCATGCCCCATGCCCCATGCCCCATGCCCCATTGCCCATGCCCCATGCCCCATTGCCCATGCCCCATGCCCCATGCCCCATGCCCCATTGCCCATGCCCCATGCCCCATGCCCCATGCCCCATTGCCCATGCCCCATGCCCCATGCCCCATGCCCCATGCCCCATTGCCCATGCCCCATGCCCCATGCCCCATGCCCCATTGCCCATGCCCCATGCCCCATGCCCCATGCCCCATTGCCCATGCCCCATGCCCCATTGCCCATGCCCCATGCCCCATGCCCCATGCCCCATGCCCCATGCCCCATGCCCCATGCCCCATGCCCCATGCCCCATGCCCCATTGCCCATGCCCCATGCCCCATGCCCCATGCCCCATTGCCCATGCCCCATGCCCCATGCCCCATGCCCCGTTGCCCATGCCCCATGCCCCATGCCCCATTGCCCATGCCCCATGCCCCATTGCCCATGCCCCATGCCCCATGCCCCATGCCCCATTGCCCATGCCCCATGCCCCATTGCCCATGCCCCATTGCCCATGCCCCATGCCCCATGCCCCATGCCCCATTGCCCATGCCCCATGCCCCATGCCCCATGCCCCATGCCCCATTGCCCATGCCCCATGCCCCATGCCCCATGCCCCATTGCCCATGCCCCATGCCCCATGCCCCATGCCCCATTGCCCATGCCCCATGCCCCATTGCCCATGCCCCATGCCCCATGCCCCATGCCCCATGCCCCATGCCCCATGCCCCATGCCCCATGCCCCATGCCCCATGCCCCATGCCCCATGCCCCATGCCCCATTGCCCATGCCCCATGCCCCATGCCCCATTGCCCATGCCCCATGCCCCATGCCCATGCCCCATGCCCCATTGCCCATGCCCCATGCCCCATGCCCCATGCCCCATGCCCCATTGCCCATGCCCCATGCCCCATGCCCCATGCCCCATTGCCCCATGCCCCATTGCCCATTGCCCCATGCCCCATGCCCCATGCCCCATGCCCCATGCCCATGCCCATGCCCCATGCCCCATTGCCCCATGCCCCATGCCCATGCCCCATGCCCCATGCCCATGCCCATGCCCATGGCCCATGCCCCATGCCCATGCCCCATGCCCCATGCCCCATTGCCCATGCCCCATGCCCCATGCCCCATTGCCCATGCCCCATGCCCCATGCCCCATTGCCCATGCCCCATGCCCCATGCCCCATGCCCCATGCCCCATGCCCCATGCCCCATGCCCCATGCCCCATTGCCCATGCCCCATGCCCCATGCCCCATGCCCCATGCCCCATGCCCCATGCCCCATGCCCCATGCCCCATGCCCCA